ACCAACGGATCCAGGTGGTTGTCGATGATTTTCTGCACTTCTGGGAGGGTTGACGACAGGTCGGTGACAGGAGTGGGCGCGGACGGAGCGGCTGTTGAGCAGGGGAGGCGGGGACGGCTGCGGTGGTGGAGACGGGGCGCTCGTTGGGAGGAGGAAAGGATGAGGTCTCGACTTCGCCGCGAGATGGGGGGAGGGGTACGGGGTTCAACGACCTCGGGGGTCGCGAGCGGAGGCGGGGTCTCCCCCTGCTGCGCAACGGAGAGTTCTCCGTCGTAATTGAGGTTGGAAGGTTGGAGGTGTCACCGTTTTCGGAGGACGTGGCGCGGAGAGAGAGGCGCTGTGGAGAGAGATAGTTCAGGTTCACGACCCGCGTGCAGCTGACGCCAATAAGGGTTGGCCATCTCAACCACAGGGAGGGTGTTGATCCCTCAGCCGTCTGGTGAACAGGCGGTCTCTCCGGAGCAGTGGTGGCGACCGTGAGGTATCACGGGGCAGGACAGTTTTCTAGGAAGAGGCGACGGGTCTCTGGAGACAGAGATGAAGTTGGAAGTGGCAGGCGAGGGGCGAGGGCGGCCGGGAAAATTGATCGCGTTGTGTGCTTCTCGTATAATCATTCCTCTCACCGCACCAACTGCTCATGGCGATGTGCCCCACGGCGTTCAATTGCGCGTTTTCTGGTGTGGAATCGGCCCTTTTGAACGGTTAACCAACGTCAAAATCTCTTCTTCGTCGCGCGACAGGGCGATTCGTAGGGAAGCGGACAGACAGAAGTCCAGCCTCTGATATAGTTTGAGAGCAGACCAAAAGTTGGATGTTCCACTACTACAGCGGCGTCTACTATTAGTGGTGATCGCCCCGGTGTCCCCCCTGAAAAGCAGGGACGGCGATGCCTGTACTCAGGTGAAGATCCGGGTCACCTTTGGCGCAAGAACGTCCACCAAACAAAAAACGTGTCCAACCGTCGTCGTCGTTTGTCCTAACCCCTCCCTCCCCACCTCTCCATGGCCAACGCGGGCCCGCCCCCTCGAATGTACTCAGGCAACCTTGCTTTTCCGCGGCGGCGTTGTGCTGGCACATGACGGCGTACCCGCTGTACACGGTTTGGGTGCAGGTTCTCATTCACTACCAGGCATTTCGGCTGTGGTGGAAACAGGTACGTATATGATGGTGATGGCGCGGCTGGCTTTCTCTTAGTCGGCCGGTTATTTTGGTCGAAGCCAGCTATCAGAAAGCATACACGCAAGATATGCCTTAGGCGGGTGAGCAAGGGGCGATGGGCAAGTGCGTTGATTTAAAGGTTTCGCAGGCAGAGCCGAGAGCGGGGGGGGGGGCGGTGTTTGGGTCTTGATATCTTGACACAGCAAGGAGTATCTACGGCATAGTCTTATAATGGGCCACTCATTTTACGCACTTCGAACACAAACACGATGTTAAAATGGTACCACGCCCTTACACTTCTTTGAGATCAAGAGGTGACAGCCCGCCGGCTATCCTGACACTAACCCCTACGCTACCCAAACGAATAAACGAACGACTGCGCAACGACTAGGTCCCGTTCTTCCCGCACCCAGAGGGCGCAGAGACGGCTGCGTCGAGGCTTGTGGCGGTTGTCATGACGCCACTATTCAATGCGCAGGAGGCATGGGACAGGCGAAAACGGAGACGGCAGAGCGGCTCCACGTGTGGTAGTGATAGTGACGATGGTCGTGGTGCTGCTTGTGGTTGTGAAAAGGCGAAGGCCGCCTGAGCGCACAACGCATACAACATACCCCAAGATCGCTTTTGAGGACGAAAACGGGGGCGTTTTATGTAAACAGGAAGTGTTGGAAATATGAACGCAGTGGCGGGCGTGTTTTTGTTGACAACTGTTCAGGGGGTCCCACGAGATTGTGCAACAGCGTGATATGCTCGTAGATGAGCTATTCTCCGGTTTGGGCGGTGCGGCCCATTAGTGTTGTAGATAGGGAGGAGACACGGGAGTCTGATGGGTCTGTGGGAGTAAACAATGATGGTACCTGTCCGTTTTAGACGCCAAAAAAGTGTTCTGGCCTTCATGAACATGTGCAAGTGACGGCAACCGCTGCCGCGTGTTACATATACACAGTGCCAACGGGGATTGGGCGGATTTTTGTGGAAGAATTTAGTAGGGACTGGTTCCGAAAAGGCAACAAGAATTAAACATTCCGACAAGTAGTTTTTTGTTTTAAGCTCCAAATCAAAGCCGGTCTTCTGCAAGTATATTGCATATGTGTCATTCTTGCAGGTATGGGCTTGATCGAGGCCTGAATTTTGCGTACGTGTGAAAAGAAAGATTGCATTGTATTCCCCCGTGGTAGCGGCAGGTCGCTGGCCTTGCTCATCGTGATGAAAACCGACGTGCAAGTGTTTCTGGAGAAAGTGCGTAACACGAGAGGAGTGCCCACCGTCTCTTGTGGGCCAGCAACAACTCTCTCTCATGGACGCCATCCTCTCCGTGTCGCAGCGTGGTGAAACCCATGTCGATGGTGATTGGGTCAGCATGATGAGCAAAACTGTGCGATACCCCGCCAGAATCATGTCTCTGTTGCTCTCATGCCCGAGACGCACTACAGCTGCTGCTGTGGACCAAGAGGCAGTCGGAAGATCGGAACGAATGGTGGTTTGTGGTGGGAACTACGGTCTTTATAGCTTCGCCAGTTACCACCATTCATTTGCTGCGTTTCGATCTCTAGTCTTCCTTGAATAATTCAAAGGCTCCGCCCGCGCATACATAGTTGGGGAGGAGGTGGCGAGAACTTGACGAATTTGTCGAGCGCGAACGTGCTCCTCAAGCCTAACACAATGCGCGTACCGTTGGTCGGCGAGCCAGCTACATCTTCCTCGCAGGTATTTATGTCGGCATACAACCCTTCCGTATCAATAACAACACCTAACACGTTTCTTTCGATATCGACTCGTCCCTCTCCACCTTCCAAGTTGGCCTCTCCTCGCCCCATTCCATCCCACTGCCGCCGTCTTACGTTGGGTGTCTTCCGTTCACCCCTTCTTCGATCATCTGCGCGTCTTTCCAAGTACGGTAACTCTGCCACCATATTCTAATCTATCGTACGCCATCGGGAAAAGTCAATTTGACCGCATTTCCCTCTTGATTCCCTCCCCCCCCTGTATGTACCCATCCATTGACCCGTGTACGTGCTTCGTGTTTCGGACTCGTAGGAAGGCGAGGGATAGTGGAAAGTGCACGACCACACCGCAACGTACCGAATGGGCAAACAGCGCTGGCACTCCCCCCCCCCGTTCCCAGCAATACTTCGGTGCCAGTAGCGAACATTCAGCCGCTGGAACACCCCTCTTTCCATTCGGTGCCGACATGACACTCGGCGTCTTTGCAACTTCGTTCCTCTCGGAAGTCCAACCTCCCCCCCCCCATCCTACCCGACGATCTTCCCGTCAGACAAGGCGTCAAAGCAGGCAATGAGGCCCGTCATCGAAGACACAATGTATACATGTATATATATCTATGTACTCTACGACGACATCCACCCACCTCCCCCTTGGTTGGTTGCACTTACATGTCCTTCCTGTCAGGCAGTTGTTTCTCCAGTCGCTGGGCTAAAGCTGCCCATCTACGAAGTCCAGACCTTTGCCCCTGAAACCCGGCACAGCAGTACCAGTGGCAAGCACAGAAGGCCCGTCGCGCGCTCGGCGATTTCATCTATTAGTCTACTTGCTTGTTTTTCAGCGACCACCACACCCGTCGCCCGGCCTTCTCAGTTATTCGACTAGTCCGGAGTATTTGGAGGACGCCCACACCCTCACTCTTGGCACGCGTCACCTCTGCCCACGCCCCGTTAGGGTGAAATGCATTTTTGCGGGGTACACGCAAGGCGTCGTCGTATCCGGTACTTCTCTAAGTAGGGTAACAACGGCCGTGATACAGTAGTATCGAAGTGTGTCCCACGAAACAACGAACTGCTCACGGTGAGCCAATCCCTATGCCCCCCACCAACACAAGAAGAACAAATATGGTGCAATCTACCAGAAAACGGCCGATAGCAACGGCCATGGTAGAATCAAACTGCGTCCCACGAAACAAGGAACAGAAGAATCCCCCCCCCCTCCCAACAACCAGAAACAGATATGGAACAATCTACCAGCGAACGACAGTTCTATTTCTAGATACGCATATGTAGAGACAAGTCTCTTCTCGTATGGAAGCACGTCCGTCCATCGTTTCCGGTAGTCTCGTCTCGCCCCCACAAACTAACCCAGAGGCCCGGTGCCGCCCGCCCACCAGTTGTAGTGAGTCGTCGTGTCCGAGCGCTTATTGTTCAATCTTATTCTCCAACAGCAAGGCGCATCGTTTCAGAGGCTGGCAATGAGCTGGGCCGATGAAAGAGTGAACCCTCTGTGGGCTCGCAGTACCTGTCGGGGGGAGGGAAGGAGCACGGTTCGATGGGACATACATGCGTTGATCAATGCCTCCTACTACATGCATCCTCTCCATTAAGGAAAACGGCGGAGGGCGTAAGAGGACGAGGCAGGATAACGGCATGAGGGATGACAGAAGATGAATGCTGCAAGTACATACACACGCACGGTGGCATCTCTGGTGCTGTTGGGGGGTAGCTGGGGGGAGTTGCGCTTCAATAGCAAGAGCCGCCTGGAGACTCCACGCACGCACCTGTTTTTGAGAGCCCCTCTGCCCGCCTACATAGCTCTCTGAATAAATAGCGTACTCGAGTTCTGCACTTCCCTATGCGCTTCAACTGGTTCGGTGCAAAAGGAATGATCGGTTTCTTCCTAGGTCCGGTCGATGCTCATCAAACAGGAGCGCACACGTTCAAGTGACGTTTTTTCAACGGCACGACCCGTGCCACTGCATCAATTAAAACGCGCACGCACCTGGTGCACCAGGAGAGCATAGCTCGCGTCCGTGTCGTCGATGTAGATCCCCTTGTTCGTGAGCACCGTCTTTTCGAGACGCTTCGAGAGGCTCTTCTCCAGAAGAGCCGCCACCTTGAGGAGGGCGGTGGGGTATTTTCCAACCCCGTCGCCGTCACCACCGCCGGAGGACAAAGGAAGAAAGCCAAACAGAGAAAAAGCACGTCAGAACATCGGCTGTACCGTGAAAGAACACGTGGGGTGTGCTGCTCCGGCGGAAATCAAGCCGCTCGAGAAAGAGTATGATTTCCATAAAGACAAGAGTCTCGTGTTGTCTTCATCAAAGGAATGCCACCAAGGGCACCGCAAGGGTTCCTTGCGCCTATCACAGAGGGTGCGCAGTCCGGACTAATGAACATGGCACAACATTCACGCTTTGGCTTAAGCTGAGCAGGCTGGGCTTCGTTCTTGTAGCGAACATCGAGCTGGCGACGAGCCAAGCTTCGTAGCGCTTTCGTTACATGTCCGTGGGCACTACAGTAAAAAACGAAAAGAGAGACGTTCTGTCCAGAACAAGAACAAAAGGAAGCCGAGAGGTTGCTATTTCATCGTTTCTTGGGGTTTTGGAAGACAAGGTGCACAGGTTGGTTGGGATCAACGAAGGCTCGCTGCCGGAAACCCGCTGGAGACTCTCACACAAGGCCACTGAGTGCTGATGTAGTACCTGGAACTGTTGATGGTACCCCCTTGTTACCCCATTTTGGGAGCCTCTGTTGACTTCCGAACACAACACGCTCCTCCTCTCTAATCTTGACTTCTACACTCTCCATGGGGGCTTGGTAGGACGGCCTCGCCTTGAGGGGGGAGGCCGCCCCTGGGGGATCAGCTGAGGGCATATGGCTCTGCGGTCCATAATTCTGAAGAAGGGAGTTTGACTGGACAGCCGTGGAAGTGTTGGTCCTAAAACGATATCTAACTGTTTAATGTGTAAATGGACCAACGCCCCGCTTCGCAGCTGCCCAGGCAACCTGAATCCTGAAGACATGGACCGCAGAGCCATATGCCCTCAGCTGATCCCTCAGGGACGGCCTCCCCCCCAGGGTGTGAGGGGGGAGGCCGCCCTACCAAAAGTCCCCATGTGGAGGGTAGAGGGGAAGATAAGAGTGGAGTGTACTGTGTTCGGAAGTCAACAGAGGCCCCCAGGATGGGACAACAAGGTGGGTACCATAAACAGTTATAGGTACCACATCGCCTACTACATCAGAGCCCGGTCTACATCAGCACGGCGGTCTCGTTGCAAAAATTATTGTTGTAACGTTTCCATCGTGCGTCGATGCGGCGTATCTGCTACGGCATGGGGTGGGAACAAACGCTAATCGTACCTAATAGTCCCCGTGTCACTCTCATGACCGTGGCTGAATATGACCCGTCATTCATCGTTCGTTCCTCTTGATGCCCAACCTCGAAAGTGAAGCCTCTCTGCGTAGGGTTTTGGGTTCTGTCGTGGTGCATAAATCAACACTGCACGCTCAACATCACCGCCGTGTCGGCATATAGTAACGTAAAAGCTAGAACAAGCACGATCCTGTCCAAAAGAAAAGGCGTCGGCAGCACGACATACAGTGGGGGCCCCCCAAAGAATGACCAGCACCATACCGGACACCGGCACTATTTCATATACAAAACTATTTGGTGATTTCAGTCTTTGCCGGCCGAATAGACCGGCACTTTGTCGTGAACCGGCACTAAACATCCCCCCGCCAATGTACCAGGTACGCACGACTCTCGCCGTGTCGGCGAACCGCGTTGCACGCCACGAATCTTACTCTCAAAGGCTGGATAAAGGGAAAGCCTTCACCAGTAACTAAGATACAAGAGTTGCGTAGTTCCGCAACAACCTATTGCATTTTGGTTCCGCAACCATTGCATCCTGGTTACCGGTGAAGGCTTTCACTTCATCTCGCCTTTTTTGAGTGTGAGATTAGTTGGGTGCAACACGGACTGCAGACAACTTGGTAGAGCGAGATGCCATAAAAGTCCATGAACAGGGCACTATATGCTTCCATGAACAGGGCACTATATGCTTTGTTGCCAGGAAGATGTCAACGCAACTGGTTTTCATCTACATACCCAGTGTTCGCGGCCCCTGCTATGGTGTGGAGCAACTATTCACTTCGATGCCTACACAAGAGAGGGGGTGCTACGCCACGTACGTACAGCGTTGTCACGGTGGGAGGAGAGAGATGGTCTGCAGCTGACCGTGTGGCCGAGTCCTTACCTCCTGTCGCGACCCGGCAGCAAGCTCAGACGGATGTGACCTCCAAATTGCGTCGTCGTGCCGCATGGTCGAATCCAGGGCCTCACGAAGCTTGGAGCTGTTGTGGTCGAGCCTGACCTGACGGTTTATGATCATGATCATGGGGGGGGGGGGGGGGGGGGGGGAAAGGTCGGGGGGTTTTATATTAGGGGTACCACAAAAAAAAAAAAACTCCAAAAAATATCCCCCCCAA